TGCTTATATGATTCCATTAATAGCAAGAGTGGAAATATGAAATTGATTCTTTCATTTGTGGTAATGTCTAAATTTACCAAATAAGGAATGATTCTCATCACCCAAGTCTGAATTGGACTGGAACTTGGAATCATGCAAGTTGTATAGCATGATGGATGAGAACTTTCAAGTATTGGAAAAAATTAAGACTAATTACTTATTCACATGGATGTGTGAGTCAAGTAATGGACTAAGGGATCGAGTACATAGTCATGTGCACTGATTAAGTCCACCACAAAAGATATAAGGCTATTCGTCATAGTTTACTAAAGCTCAGTAAATATGATTATACTTACAAGCTTAACTGTAACTCTGAGACATTGGAAAAAACGTTCCAATGTAAGGCAAAGCGAATAAGAAGAATCAAATTAGGTAGAAGGATAAAAGTTTCTCAAATCTGAAAAGATGGGAGAGTACTTTAGCATCAGTTTTGTGATCATCTTAATGATTAAGAAACCATATCAAAATTAGTTCTCTAAGGAAGTCTTAGTGCATTCTTATGACTAAGAAGAGGGATCTTGAATTGTTGAAATGGTTAAATCAAGAAGATGAGTCATCGTTCTAATACAAGTCTTAGAGTCATACTCCAAGATTGTGACTTGAGTGACATGTCTCAAAGAAGGTTTAAAACACTTATCAAATGTAAGAGTAAAAGTTTCCTACTCTTGTACATTTGAAATTGGTAAGTTGTGATGTTTTGGATAAAACAAAGACCAACTTAGGCCAATTGTGTGAAGTGTTTGTCTTGATTAGAATCCGCACTATCTCTTGGATGTTTGACAAGGGAGTCTTATAGGTCAAGAGGACAGTGGGAGTCTTAAAGGTCTTGAAAGTCTCAAGAGCTAATCAAGAATGAAACCTGAAGTTCCTCACTAGCACATAACTTGAGGTTTATAACCTATCGTGTTGACATATTCTGTGCCCATTCCAGTTAAAGTTGGCTTTGCATATGAGTTCTTAGAGTTCTCAATGTGTTGCACAACAACTTGGAGGCAATGGCAGGCCCTTGAGCTGCCAGGTGGCAAGAAATTAAGATTGAGTTCAATCCATATGAGTTTGGATTTGTCATTATCCTTGTCTTGTGACTATGGTTTTGACAATTCACATGGATAAGAACACATACACCATTAAATCTAAGTGTCATAAGGTTTCTCTCTGACTCATGAAAATGATGGTGAGGAAACACTTTCACTAAGTAGATTTTAGCTAGATAGCAATTGTGATATTTGCATTCTCAAAGTCGTTATTGGAGCGTGTGTGGTTTACCGGCACACTAACCTGGACTTGTGAGAAGTGGCAAAAAGGTCTAAGCATTATGATTATGACATCCCTCTTCATAATTGTTTAGACACACAAGTGTGCTATCTAATGGAAGGTGTATGTTTTTTATAAAGTCTTATCAAAATAATCTAGTATCAGAAATCTGAACTTTGGTAAGAAAGTCAATAAAGTATTGATTTCTAGAAGTCCAGTTATTTTTTTGAGTACATGTCAAAGCTAGTGGGAGCATAAGTGTTATGCTAAAAATCATCATGTTAGTGGGAGCATGATAATTATGATAAAGATTGCAAGTTAGCAATGTTAATTATAGAAAACAAAAGTTTCAACTGGGAAAGTGTTGTTTTGCTATAATTAAGGGAGAGGAAATTATACTTCATCTCAAATCTATAAGCTTAGATCATGAGGTTTTAATTATTTAGTCAAGGATATATATATATATATATATATATATATATATATATATATATATATATATATGAATTTCATGTTGGAATGGCTCAACATAAGGAAATTCTGTATATGGGTCCATTATTTGCGTTCTAAAATTCGATTATGATTACGGCATCCGTTTTTCATAATCTGAATTATGAGAACTTGGCAAATAGAAATGGAAATGTTATAGCAAAAGACTGGTTTAGTCCTTATGTAAGACATCATGAATCGTCTCCCATATGCTTCGGATATAGGATCGATTACATGTGCTATATTCATCCTTTCTAAAAGTTTCCAAATGCCTGGGGCATTAAGAAGGGAAAAGGTTTAGAACTGGATATGACTAAAAGGATTAAACAATTGTCGAGGAAAATCTAAGGTTTACCAAAGATTGGTTGCTCAAGGACAATTGGAAGTATAGTGATAATTCTGGAAGGACCATATTGATATAATCTGTAAGGAGGCAACTCTTGTTCAGAAGTGATAGTCAAAATGAATCCGGAAATGTTTCAAAGTTAGAATTTTCAATCTGTGTAAGATTAAGGAAACTTAATGCAAGAAGGATGTTTCCAAGTAGTTGATCTCCTTTGGAATGCTCTGTAATGATTGTTGTCAAGTCTTTCTGACTTTGTGCATAATCATTACAAGAGGATCAATGCATATAAGTTTAGAATCTAATAGATTTCAGTAAATGACATGAATTTGGAATTCTTGCATTTGCAGTAAGGATTTGGGAGTGTGAAAAGAGAGTCATTGAAGTTATGTTCAATTGATCTAGCTCACAAAGTAAAGATCATAGACAAACATAGTATGCATACTTGGTGTATGGCATGACTAGTGTTTAGAAAAACATAGTGTACATGCTTGGAGCATGGGACAACTATTGTTTTAAATTCAAGAATAAAGTTGATAGCTGAAACAGTATGCAATGAATAATGCGTAATCATATGTGATAAATAAAAGGTGTTTTATTTATGTTCATAGGTTTTGATACCATATTGGATTCAATTATTATTGTGTTTCACTTTGCATGTTTTGACTTCCCGAATAAACTAGGTTATTCTTCCGGAATGACTAAGTTATTCAAACCATCCACAGTCGGTCATATGTTGGAAGCAGATATGAATTAAGACTGTCATGGGTTGGCTTGTAGAGGTCTAAGGTGTTGGACAAATGGCTACAACACTCATGAGTGCTCATAAGTTCTGAGTATTGGATTCAACCCGCGCTCATTGGAATCACTTCATGGATATTTTCACGAGTGGTCATTAGACGATAATATTTTATATTCTTCAAACCTAGAGATATGAGTTGTTACTATGAGTTGATAGTACATTGATTGCACAAAACCGCATTTGGTAACTCGGTGCTATAAAACGTGCCTTTGTGTATGATTCAACAAGTAGTAGAACAAGCCATATGAGTCTAAGTTTATCCATTCCTTTTACCTTCGGGATAAAAGCGATATCTATGGGCCCCTCGATGATTTGATGATGACCAATGGAAGTGCTCGGCCGGGCCAGGACTGATTTGATTTGTTCAATTAGTCAGTTGTCATAAATCGGAAATCGGGAAACAACAAATGGACAGAGAGAATGATTATAATCCATGTCTCAGTCCATATTTTATCTAGAATGGAGGAATATATGATCCCTTATCTAATGGACAAGTCATTGAGAAAGGTCAGAGTTCATCTACAAGGTCAGAGTTCGACAGAAGCTTTTGAGAGCTACGATTGCCAGGTGGTTCCTGAAGTCATACGCAATAATAGTTTTAGACTTATCCAAGTGGGAGACTGTTGGATTAATGTCTAAGTCCATAACTATAATTGGTAAGACTTGACCCGACCCGTCATGGTCCATTTGGGTTGCATACCATCATGCACTTGGATAGACTGAATGAGATAAATAAGACACTTATGGTTATTAATATATTATAAGTTCTAGTATATTAATAATAAGAATAATGAGATTGTTTAATTAGTATTGATCAAGAATTAATCTAGGATTAATTGAGTGATCAAAAGAAGACTAATTAAATATATATGGGTTGATTGTGTAAATTATCCATACTTGTATAGTGGGCTAATGCTCCATGGATTATCTAGTTGGGCCAAAACCCATATGATGCTCCATGGTGTATTTGAACCCATGGATCCAAGGAAATGGAAAGTTATGACAATTAGGGTTTACCCTAATTGTATAACTATATAAGCATCTTATTATTGAGGAAAATCGGCCACTAGAGAGACTAGTATTATTCTTGAAGAGGGCTAGCCGATTTCATGAAGTGTAGAATTCTCTCTAAGTTATTCTAAGTGTTTTGATGATTGTGAACCATTTGAGGTGTCACACTTGGGGCACTAGGCACTCAAGCTTCATGAAGACAAGAACCATCAAAGAGGTATGTATTCTATCTTTTTATATTGATAGTTTTGTGTGCTAGTTTAGGATAATAGCTTGGATATTCATATTTGCATGTATAATAGAGAAAACATAGATCCAAGGTTTTTAGGGTTGCATGTACACTTAGGAGTGTTAGAATGCTCATAACCCAACAGTTCTTTATATCCAGATGTTGGTATTTATGAGTCTTACAACTTTCATTTAGACCTCGTCGGCTAATTCTCATTCTGTCTCCGATTTACAAAACTATATCGAATTTATCGCGCTCGAAGAGTAGAGACTAAGTTTCATCCATATCTTTTGCACACAAGCTCCTTTTTGGACTGTCTTTTTATCATTAAACTCCTATTAATGATATCTTCATTTTTCTTTTAGATTATTTTGGCTAAAAATAGACCGATCAAAAATTCAAATTTTGGGTTGTGTACTGCTATGCTAAATCTTAGAAAACTCATTACTTCCTCATACGAAGTCAGATTTGGATTTTCGTTTTATTCACACTCTCGTTTTAATGTATACTACAAATTTCGTTTAGATCGCTAAGGCTAAAAGGTATTTTATCAAAAATTCACTTTTTTACGTTACGCGGTGTCGTGCCGGTTTAGTCGTAAAACTTCAACGGTTCATAACTTCTTCGTTATAGCTCGGATTTCCGCGTTCTTTATATGTATGGAACCCTTGTGAAATATATTATAACATGTTTAAGATTATTCATTCTAAATAATCTTTCATTAAAAAGTCATTCTTTGATGTTTATTGTCTGTAAATTGACTAGGCCGAATCTGTGGGTGTTATAATTAACCAATTACAACTTTATTTTCTTCTCAGTCCACTGATCATGATATGATGAATACTGAGGAAGAAGAACATCTTGAGTCTGCAGAATTGGAATTTGATCCTGAGGAAGAAGATATTGAAGATCATGCAATCATGTCTGGGAAGCAATACACTATTCTTAATTCAAACTTGAATATAGTTCTTCAGTGCTTGATTGATTCTTCAACTTTTTCAAATTCTCATTTCAGTAAAGATGATGTTGAATTTCTTTTAAAGTCTCAAAAAACAAATATGAAGACTCTTATCACCAATGAAGTTACACAACTTCAGACTCGTCTTACCGACAACATGACTTATTACACGTTCGGTATTACTAAAGTTCAAAATGTTGCTAGAGAAAGACATGTGATTTTTGGGAAGATGTTAACTTCTTCAAAGGAGTCTATTCTTTTGAAGATTAAAGATTTGGTTAATATGGTTACAGAGGAGATTACAAAGCTTGATAAATTTTGTTTGAGACTTCAACAGAATGTTGATGTTCTTCTTGGAGCTACAAGAACATTAATCAAAGACATTTGTGCTTTCAACAAAGGTTATGCTGTAGAGTTGAAGTTAAAGAAAGAATCTGAAGGAAATATGATTACAAGAAGTGAGAGTTATCTTATGGGTTTTCATGATTGCATATCGAAGTTTGATGTTAAATCAACCGCTTCGATTTATGAGGAACAAATTTCAAACATTTTTTTCTTTAGTGGAGTATTTTTAAAGATTAGCTTGCTCTCATCCTAGATCTTGTTCTTCGATTGCCTACAAATGCTCCACACCCGTTGATGTTTGTGTCACAAGCAAGAGATAAGGGTGGTTCATCGAAGTATGGATGCGAAGACAATGGAAAGGTAGCTGGGAAGGTTTTTACCACACAAATTCCAATTCCAATTTCAGTGAAACCTATTCTGACAGCTTCGACAACAACTCCAAAAATCGAAGTTGAGCTTCGATCAAAGAAGGGGTTGAACATAAATGAAGGAGGTTCGGGTTCTTCGACTTTCAAACTTGTTGCAACCTTAGAACCAAAAGGAAAAGGAAAAGATGTTCATGTGGAGCCCTTTGAAGAAAAAAAGAAGATACTACAATAGCTTGAAACAGAGAAGATGAAGCAGCTTAACCATATAATGAGACTGAGAGCAAATGACCCACCTGGTCTTAATAAAGGAGATCCAAGTAAAGTGTGGCTTTATCTAACAATTAAGAATATTCCTTATTGCGAGGTTGATGTATTTGAAAAGCAGCCAAAGAGATGCTATGACATCGAAAATTCAGACTTTAATCAATCGGACTTTCCATTCAATCATTCAATGTTTACATTTTCTCAATTCAAGCAGGCTAAAAATTTTCATGTTTCTAAGGAGTATAAAGGTATGAAGATACGATTTCATGCAGTTCTTGGATAGAGAGAAGAATATGTTTGGTCTCTGGTGAAAATTATTAAAATTGTATCGAGAACTCAAGATTTCACGTTTGAAGGAGTCATTCAAAACGATAGATATAAGGTTGTCAGGGATAATAACATACTTTTTGAGTTTACCATTGATGACTTTCCATTGATAAACTTGAATGATCTTATCACTTTTATGAGGATTACAGGAGATTTTAATAATGATTAGGTTCAAGATAGAGCATCATACATCATTGGATATAGTCACAACAAAAGCATCATTGACTATTACTATGCTCATCTAGCATTAACAAACTTCGAGTATGTCACATCTTTCAAGAAAAAGCCAAAAGTTCCCAAGTGAATGTTGAAAGGGAAAATGAATATCGAAGACTATGAAGATGGTGAAATTATTAATCAACCAAAAGGTATTATGTTTTAGGGAAAGAATATGATTGGAGGGAAATATAACTACTTCTTCCATATTGAAACTAGAGAAAGGAATTTAAATCAAAATCTTTCTAGTGTCCTTCTCCGGATGAAGACAGAGTAGAAATTAGGATGATTATCGTTTGGTATATGGAAATAAGAAGAATTTGGTTGAATGTGATAAAGATGCTACCCATAGTTTGAAGATTCAATATTGATCACAAAAGGGGAGATTGTAGAGTCAAATGTGTTGTGATATATCGAAGTGTAACAACCCGAAATTTCCATATCATATCTTGTAACTCTTTCGTAGTACAATTCACACAACCAAACGTCGTTTCCGATTTCACCATTTTAATTAAGTCATTAACTTGTTCGTATCTAAAATGACTTAATGGGTGTTTTAATACATTTAGAAATCATTTTAAAACCCCACTTTAGTGATCAGAATAATTCTAAAATTTACCATATCGGGTTACGGCAACCTAATCGGGTACGACCAAAAGCCTCACCTAACGCCGGTATCGGGTAGAATTCCACCGTGTCCAAAACTTAGACACTATATAAAGTGCTTTAGGACTCCATTTGAAGCCTTTGGCCATTTTCTCATAGAACTCTCACAACCTCTCTCCTCATCTATAATCAAAGGTCCAAAACAAAGATTTAAGGCTTCCAATCAAAGAGGTAACACCCCTAACTTGTTATCTAACCTCTTTAGCCTTCAAATTGATGTTTAAATTTAGTTTTTGGACCAAGGATATGAGTTTACGGCCAAGGATCATGCTTGGGCCGTAAACTCCTCAAAATGGGGTTTTTGAGCCAAACTACCCTTCCAAATCATAGTTGGGACTTAGATATGACCTTAAGGCTTGCTAATTGGGACTTGGAACACATTAAGCATGAATTTTGAGGGACAAACAAGATTTTATGGCCAAGGCATATGCTTGGGCCGTAAACTCCATTAAATTGGGGATTTTGTGCCTTAAAACATGTCAAAATGCTTTGAAACTCAACCAATGGCCTTGTGATAAAATCTAGATGCATCTAAAAATAGTTTAAGGGTTTGTAACACGTCAGAAATGTCATTTATAGGAGTTTACGGCCTAGGAACATACCCTTGGCCGTAAACTCATAAAACTTGTTAAAGGATGCATCAAATCCTCTCTAATGGCTTGCATTGAATTCTAAAATCACATGTGATTGTTTTAAGCATCAAAAACTAAGTTTTCATGAGTATAGGAGAGTTTACGGCCATAGAACACGCCTCTAGGCCGTAAACTCCTAAAACTATGTTTAATGGTGTTCTAAATTCATAACAAGGCTTGGAAAATTAACTAGAATCACATGTGATTGTCCTTTGTAGCTTAAAACAATTTTTCTTGGCCATGGGTGAGTTTACGGCCGTAAACTTCAAGTGGGTGGCCGTAAACTCCCTTTTAAGTGTTATAATTCCATTCAATCCATTCCAAGGCATTTTAGAAATCCATTCCAACAATCCCCATGTCCATTTAAGCCATTAAACCCTCCAAATGACACCAACATGAGTTTACGGCCGTAAACTCATGTGTGTGTGTGTTTTATGGCTGTAAACTCCTTATAATGTTTACTCTTGGGGAGTAAACTCAAGTCCCAAGTTCCTAGTGCCATTACACGTCCGAAGATGTCACCCGGGTCACTCCAAATGCTCGTTTTGAGGTGTTTAACCTCGTTGGAGTGTAATGTTCCATATGATTAGTGAATGTATCCCTAATTGTATATATATGGACATTATTTCATTTTACATAGGGACATCGCGAGTAATCAAACCCCGAACCAACGTCTAGTATCCAAAACCGATGCATTTCCGAGTCCGGTGAGTTCATACCCCTACCCTTATTCACTGTTTTCACTGTTTTCAGGGGGGAACACAAGCAAAGTACAAGGGAATTCTTGTACTCAAAACATGTTTTCAAATATGTGTTTCATATTTCATATGCTTTTATTACTGAGTACCACAATTGATAACCATTTGAACATGCAGATCACGTAACACATATTTGTGAAATGGATCTTTAAACTGTTATGTTATACATATATTTCACAAATGACATTCCATATTTTATCAGTTAAAAGCATGACATAAGACATTTGAATATAATACCTGTACACTGTTTTGTCCTCGGTAACACTCCACATATATACGTGAGTGGAGGACTATCATATTATTACTAGTAAATTTGTTATTCATGTATGATTGGAGACACTTCCTCGGAGAACACTCCACAGAGATACGTGGGTGGAGGACTACACCCGTAACCAGAATCTCTGGGATTTAGAGAGCGTGACTTGAGTGTATAGATCTATACGGGGCTGACTACCCCACACCTGGCTACTAGCTACAGCCGAACCGAAATGGTTCAAAGGTGACGAAAGTCATAAGAATGTGGACTACTTATTGCCACATGTGGACTACTTATTGCCACAGGTTTAGTCTATCGTATGGTTATGGAACTCGCAATTACGATAACAGAGTTTTACTTATAGTAATAATAAACCACTTATACATCTTTTACATCTTTCACGTACAGTAATCAATATTCAGGAAAGTATGGGACTTTCCTGGGGAAAACATGGAACCTAACCACGTTTACATCTTTTACATCTTTTACATCATTCACATTGGAAACCAACATGCAGGAAAGCATGGGGCTTTCCTGGGTACTACTTACATTACTAGAAAGAGTAACAAACTGGATAACATTACATCTTTTACAATTGGTGATATACAATAAGGAAAGTATGGGACTTTCCTGGGAATACATGATAGGTAAACAGAACAGTTTAACAAGTCGGATAATCAAAACTATACATTTTTACATGAGTAGACATGTTTTCAGTGTACAAACTTACTTTACTTTACATTTGTGATACAACAATCAACTTTTAAGAAAATATGAGATTTTCTTGGTATACATAACATTTCATGAACAGAAAGGAAACTTGAAACATTTTCACAAACACAAACCGCTTATGAACTCACCAGCTTTATGCTGATTTTCAAACCGCTTGTGTTCTCAGGTCAGCGATAGTACAGGTACCCGAAGACTTACTTAATCCAGGATGGTGTGCGTGCACAGCTCGTTCGTTTTGTTTATACCTATACTATGTATCAGATCTGTATAATTTTTGTCTGTTGAAACAAATTGTAATACTTTTAATATGTAATGTAATGTTTGTTTCACTTTACTTACTATGTACATTGGATTTGATACTCAACGTGGAGTCAACCTCGGGAATGTTTCCGCCTTCGGTTTTCAGGGTGTGACAGATTGGTATCAGAGCCCTTGTTTATAGTGAATGAAGTATACCAAACCTTACATGGTATAAAACTATAAACACTAAGGGGCCTAAGTGCTCTGAATTAAAAGTATCTTCAAACTACAAGTATTTTCAAAAGTATACAAGTATACCAAACTGTCGTCATCCGTAACCACAAGTAGAACAGAACATAAGTAATTGGGTGCTGTGTGCTATGGTTAAACCTGGGCAGTTATCTAGTCGTGTCTAGGGTCAATATAGCATGGCCAACTATATTCATTCGAGACACAGCCAACATGTGCTTGGGAGTGACTGTGGTATGCGGCATGCCTAAAACTTACCCTAATATCTCAAACATCGAACCATTGTGGTGATCAATTCATGAAATACAATGGGAGTATTTCTCGATCCCAATCCTCTATACAAATCCTTATCCAAGTGGCTTTCTGTGATTATTCTTAGCGATAAATTATCTGTTTCGATAACTCTTTCCTATTTTATCGGTTAATTGGAATAAATATTTGTCATATCTCTCGATTCAATTTAGAGGACTTATCATCCTCTCTTTCTTGATCTTTATTAGATCAAGATGCCTCCCCGAAAGAGACCCAAATCAAAGAGCAACAACAATCCTTCTTCGCCGCCACCTCCTCCCCAGTTTGACCTAGCATCACTCTAGACAGTCACGACAGCTGCAATGGTGGCAGCCATGTCACAAATGAACCCTAGTGGTTCAGGAGGTGGTCCTCAATCTCAAAACCCTGAAGTTAGCCAGGGACACCAAAGAGGGGGTTCCTATAAGGATTTCATGAACATGAAACCAACATCCTTTGATGGCACTGGAGGTGTCATTTCCCTATCCCGATGGTTCGAGAAAATCGAATCCATTTTCAAAATCTGTGCCTATGTTGAGTCCGATAAGGTCAAATTTGCAGCCTATACCTTCAGTAATAAAGCCTTTACTTGGTGGAATAG